ATTCTCCAAAGCACCTGAGGGTAGAACAAGAAGCAATGGGTGGAAACTAATCAAGGAGAGAAGCAACCTAGAACTGAGGAGAAATTTCCTGACAGCTAGAACAATTAACCAGTGGAACAACTTGTCTCCGGAAGTTATGAATGCTCCAACGCTGGAAGTTTTTAAGAAGATGTTGGATATACATTTGTCTGAAGTGGTTTAGGGTTGGACTAAAAGACATCCAAGGTCCATTCTATTCTATTCTATTCTATTCCATATTTTCTTTTCTATTCCATTCCATTCAATATTTTCTATTCTATTTTCTATATTCTCTATTCCCTACTCTACTCTATTCCGTCAGCCAACAGAAGTGCTGATTTGCTGATGCTTTATATAAACGAAATGTGTAGTATATCAGTGATCGCGTGACCTCTCTGGATGCCATATGCTAAATAAAATAAGTAAATAAAGCCATGACTTTTATCCATTTTCTTACATTACAGCCAGAGCTGCTCTGTATCTCAGTTTATGTTCATTAATGTGGGAACTAATCAAGGAGAGAACAAACTTAGAATTAAGGAGAAATTCCCTGACAGTTAGAACAATTAAACAGTGGAACGATTTGCCTCCAGAAATCGAGGGTGCTCCCACACTGGAGGTCTTTAAGAAGAGGCTGGACAGTCGTTTATCTGAAGCGGTGTAGGGCTCTCCTGCTTGGACTAGAAGACCTCCAAGGTCCCTTCCGACTCTGTTCTTCTGTGTTGTAGCACTTAAAAAAAAATTAACCTTCCTCTATCTGTTTCCCTTCTTACCTTTGCAGAAAGGTGCTGGATATCACCTGGATCTTTTCTTGGTGGCTGTGTTGATGATCATCTGTTCCTTCATGGGTTTGCCCTGGTATGTTGCTGCGACTGTCATCTCCATCGCTCACATTGACAGCTTGAAGATGGAAACTGAGACCTCGGCACCTGGCGAACAACCCAAGTTTTTGGGAGTTAGGTATGCTGATCCGACGGGGAAGAGAGATTGAGTGCTGGGTATTCTAGGAAGCTGCCTAGCAGGGGATTCTGCACAGGCCAGAAACTGCAGGCTGCATTTTCCCCTGAACTGTTGGAGCAAATATAGCTTAGCGTGATGAGTCTTAGACACAGATAACATAAAGTACATTGTGGGGTTCTTGGTGCTCTCCGAGCTGCACGGGGTTTCTTGAGAGACATTTCATTACCAAACTAGGTAACATCCTCAGGGTTTGAAGGGAGTGGTGTTATTGGAGAGGAGGAGGAGGAGGAGGAGGAGAAGGAGGATGACGATGACGACGACTGTGGAGTCCTTGGTGCTGTCCGAGCTGGGTGGGTTTTCTTGCGAGATGTTTCATTACCAAACTAGATAACGTCATCAGTGTTTGAAGGAAGTGATGTTTGTAGAGAGGAGGAGGAGGAGGAGGAGGAGGAGGAGAAGGATTGTGGGGTCCTTGATGCTCTTTGAGCTAAGTTTTTTTTTTCTTGTGAGATGTTTCATTACCAAACTAGGCAACATCATCAGCGTTAGAAGGGAGTGGTGTTTGTGGAGAGGAAGAAGAGGAGGAGAAGGACAACTATGGGGTCCTTGATGCTCTCTGATCGGGGGGGGGGTGTTCTTGCAAGACATTTCATTAACAAACTAGGCAACATCATCAGCGTTAGAAGGGAGTGGTGTTTGTAGAGAGGAAGAGGAGGAGAATATCTATGGGGTCCTTAGAGCCGAGGTGGCGCAGTGGTTAAATGCAGCACTGCAGGCTACTTCAGCTGACTGCAGTTCTGCAGTTCGGCTGTTCAAATCTCACCNAGCCGGTGAGATTTGAACAACCGAACTGCAGAACTGCAGTCAGCTGAAGTAGCCTGCAGTGCTGCATTTAACCACTGCGCCACCTCGGCTCTCTGAACCTGGTGGTTTTCTTGCAGACGTTTCATTAGCCAAGTAGGTAATGTCATGAGTGCTATGAAGCGCTATATAAGTCTAACTATTGCTATTGCTTTCATCACTGTGCTAGTGAGTTGTCCTGTCAATGTTGCTGGGTATGGGCTTAGTGGTTCCTTGATTAGGCCGTTTAATGTTAATTTGTTTGCCTGAATTCTAGTTCCTTGACTCTGGGGTATTGTTGGCTTCTTGACCGTTGGTCTGAGGATTAATCCTATTAATCAGAATTAAACTGGAAGGGGTGAGGTGCTTTGGTCCTTTTGTTTCCTTTCATGTTTTCCTTTCTGATTGTCTCTTCGGAATGGCGTGTAGATGTTATTTATCTCTGTGTTCCTATTGATGGCTGATTTGTCTGCGTGCCAGGCTTCCAGGAATTCTCCAGCACTTGGGGGCTTGGCTTGAGAGCCAAGAAAACAACCGAACTCACGAGAGCACCAAGGACCCCACCGTGCCCTTGAGTAATTCTGTAAATGTTTTGAGCGGGCCTTATTGAAGCCACCTGTTCCTGTTAGCATTTCTGGTCCTCTGTTCTGCTTTTGCATGTTGCTGGTTGCCTCTGAAAATATGCAGTTTTTAAAAGCAGGGTAGGAATACTGTCAATCAAATACATATACATGCTGTTAATAATGGGTACCTATTGGACAGAAACTGCTTAGAGTCTCTTTCACAGCATTAAAAGCAATGGAAAGGTTGTGCTAATTTTTAAAATTATGATGTTTTGAAGGCATGGGATAGAGATGACAGATGGGTAAAACAAGTGTATATTTTCAGTGGAAAGCAATGTTCTCTCTTGAATCCGCTTTCAATCATCTTAATGGCCTCCCTACAGCTGTTCATACACTCAAAATGCATGAAGTTCAATAGTATTTCCACCCTAACAATACATTTCTTTTATTTTCTGTACTCCAAGTTCTGCGTGTTTTCAAAGTTCTTTGATCCATTCTTTTTGCACTGGGATCTTCACTGGGTTTTCTTTTTTTAAATTTTTATTCTCCGTCCCTTAATTTGAGATGCTGGCAAGAAAGGTGTTATTTTCCTTTTAAGCTGCATGCAAGGCAGAGAGATATGGCACAGAATGTGAGAACAGAGTGACAGCCCTATTAAGTTTACTTACACGGTGGGGGGGGGGCAAGAACTAGATGCAAATGTTGGTGCTAATTAACTTCTTTTCAAGGTTTGCGGAGTGCCTGCTCTAGGCTACATTACTTCCAAAAGCTATATTTATCTTGGAGGATAACTCCGTCGTTTGCAGCTGAATTCTGAATTTCACTTAATTTGCCTCAACTTTCTGGTGGCTGAAGAGAAACTTAACACTCGAAATGTTCTAACTCGCAGTGTCTTATTTTCACACATCTCAGATGCAGAAGGCCACTTTTGGATTTTTTTTTTTAGAAAAAGTTCTTTATTTGATGGTTCTTGTCGTAAAGTTGTCTCCCTTAGTATCTCTCTGCTCATTTGCTGTGGGAGCAAAGGTGAGATTAGAATCATCTGTGTAGCTCTCTTTACTGCATCCAGTTTTGGTCGCCACGATGTAGAAAAGATGTGGAGACTCTGGAAAGAGTGCAGAGAAGAGCAACAAAGAGGATTAAGGGACTGGAGGCTAAAANAGAGAATGAGGTGGCTGGATGGAGTTATTGAACTTAAATGGACTCCAGAGGATGGTAGAGGACAGGAAGGCCTGGAGGAACGTTATTCGAACACTTGGCAACTGGCATGCACTTATGACTATTATACCCTCCCAGGATCATGTGATCACGTTTTGTGACCATCTGACAAGCAAAGCCAATGGGGGAAACCAGGTTCATTCTAACAACTGCGCTATTAACTTAACAACTGCAGTGATTTCTTTAACAACCGTGGACAAGGAAGATCATAACGTGGGGACAAAACCACTGTCTTGCTTAGCAGTGGGAATTTTGGGCTCAATTGTTGTAGGTCAAAAACTACCCATCTTATATGTTACTCACTCAACTGCAAAAAAACAGGAAAACTTCAGCATCTGATAAGCAACAACAGCAACAACAACAAAAAATTCTGAATTCCTTGGTACATCAAGAGCCCGTTCACTCCCAGGAGGTATCTGGGGACTGTGTATTTCCATCTCCAGGCGTGTGGTCTCATAACTGGGTGGATATTCCAAAAATAATAAATGGAGCAGCAGTTGAAATACTTCTTCTGCGGCTGCCAAAAAAGCCAACGCCAACCCTGGGCTGCATTAACAGAGCAATAAAGATCAAGATCAAGTGTTAGTATCAATTTATAAGGCCTTGGTAAGGCCACACTTGGAATATTTGCATTCAGTTTTGGTCGCCATGATGTAGAAAAGATCTGGAGACTCTAGAAAGAATTGCAGAGAAGAGCAAGAAAGAGGATTAGAGGACTGGAGGCTAAAACATACGAAGAACGGTTGCAGGAACTGGGTATGTCTAGTTTCATGAAAAGAAGGGCCAGGGGAGACTGTGACCCGTCAAAACCGCGCTCGACTAAGCCGCGCCTGATTAAACCGCGTCACTGACGTCATCAACAGGGC